AGAGGAATGGATACATTCAGAGGTGAAATTATTTGCAAAGTTTGCACCCATTGCAGACCACTAATAACACCAAGACCTGAATGAGGTAACCCTGATCCTAACCTGGAGCTGAACCCCATAGCCCAATTCATTTTTGGCCAGCAGAACTGTTGAGGATTTCTAATATTGTGGCCGTGGCCACAAGCCTTTGGGTCACAGACTTTCCCTGAACTCACTGGTTGATCGCTGAATCTCACTGATTGATTACAGAGTACATGGGAAGCTGGATTAGTTTCTTGGAAATATGGAAAGAGGAACTAATACCATCATTTGTAGTAGTCATCACTGACGTTTCATAGCTCTTTGCTTAGCAACACAGAATGTCCATTAAATTCCACGGGCCAAAGCTTTGCTGAATGGGGTTAAAGGTTTCTAACTTCACATCAACAAAATTTCCTGCTGGAGTGCTTGTTAGGTCCAACAAGGTAGGTCATTTCCCTCCTGTGCATTTTGCTTCTCTTATCTCTGGTGACTCCAAAAGCACATAGGATTCACAGAAGCTAAAACTAAAACAACAACCTACATCCGGTCAATCAGGTCATCTCTGATCTTTCGGTCAGTCCCCTCTGCCAGCCACACTGTCAATAAAAATGCTCAGAGATGCCAGTAATTTTAATTCCCCTTTCCCTTTCCCTTTCCCTTTCCCTTGAAGCCTGCAGAAGATAGAATGATCATTTTTACCTTCTTAGCCAGATTTCAGCACTCAGAGAAGGGTACTGCCAATTATGGGTGACATTGTTTCCTCTGACAGCTGTCTATTAGCATGACTGATGTCTGCTCCAGAAGCTTCTGCAGGGCACACATAGAGATCAAAGACTTCTATCTAGGTCCCCTACCTCAAAATATTTACTTGCTGTCATTTGGAAAGATAGGGAAGTCATGGCCTCAACATCTGACAACTCACTTGTGACACTTCCTAATGTGTCCCATTTGCCATCAGTGTCCCCAGTAATATAAATAGGATATCACAAAGCCTACATTAGAGTAGTTTCCAGACAGAGGTAGCTAGATCAAATTCAACCTGGATAAAGCAGAGGAAATACAGCTAGGAAAGAGGAATCACTAGGAAAATGGCTTTCCACACAAGTATAGATACAGAACACAAGCCCTGAAGATAAATAGACTCAAAGACTTTTTTGATTCAAGTAGGGCCTCCAATCTTTAAGCCTAGATATACCTGCTTAGATTTGATTCTTAGGTTGTTGTTATTGCTTAACAGCATATAGTACAAAAGTATTAAGTCACTTCAGCCATGTGAGGCTGAAGAAAATATTGCATCATCTTATTTAGCAATCTAATTGTATAACTGCAGTATCATTGCTGAACTAAGCCAGGCATTCCTGAGGGAAGAGATCAGCTCCACAACAGTTTAGGACAACATTTTCAGACAGAAAAGAATATATTACAAATATCCTACCATATGGCAAATGAGTGAAAGTTATCTTACAGAGAGTTGCTTCTATTCTCTCTTTTAAAGGTCTCTTGAAGATCCCCATAAGCAGGAATTTCACTGTATAGCAAAAGGAGTTTTGCTGTATAGCAGTGACAGCACAAGCTAACAGACAATCCTGAAACATTATCTGTTTACAGCTGTGTATGCTGCTGCAAAGACTGCCAGATGAGTTCTGATGTTTAAAAAGTTTGTACCAGGTTGACTAAAGCATGTAGATATTTTAGTCTCATTAAAACCCTGGTGGAAATTGACAAGTTCAGCCCTTGTTCCCAATCCATGAAGCTGAGAAGTAGTTTATTACTATGTTTTTGGATGCTCATTTGAAGGCAAGTTGAAGTCATAGTCCTGCAGCTAACTCCCATAATGTATTGCTAATTTTTATAGCTGCTCATGGAATGGAAGTCAACCTGCTTGTTGCTCCCAGTATATTTTGTAGGGTTTTCATTTCTGGACTCTAGCCAAAGTGCGGTATTGTTCAGGTCCTTTGTCTTGCCATTAAAGTTCTTATTGTTACGGTTTTGTCTGTTGGGTCAATGAGATTAGATTTCATCAGCACAGCAAACTAAAAGAAAATACAAGTTATTAGATAATCATTAAAGCACATCTGTTGCTTTTTTTCAGAGTGCCAAAGTCTGAATTCCATTGAACTAGTGACATGGCACTTGACCAGCGCTTAGTTCAACTATGGTCAATGAGCTGCAAAAGGATTAAAATATTAGCAGCTAGTTGATTCAACCTAATCCCTGGCAGTTTTGTTTAGACTGTAAAGGAAGGTGCCTAGAGCAAAAGAGAATGAAACAATTGCAGTAAGAAAATGCTAACATTTTTGAGCCTGTTCCACAAACTGTGCTATACTGCTGCTCCATTTTGGTGTTGCGCCAAGACATCAGTTCCTCAGGTACTGTAAATACACTTTCACGCATATCCACCCTGAATCTCTTCAAAAGTGCCTGAGAACTTCTCAGCCTGAAAGACTGGCTGGTAGAGAATGGAAACAGGTATTCCCCCATCATCCACACACCCAGAGTGAACAGCATTCTGGACTATGGATGAACACTGTTTCACAAACACCAGCTTCTTTTTTCTTTTCAAAAATTGTTCCGACATACATGTATACCATGAAAAATATTTTAAATCATAGGCTTTTTTCACATATCATTTTAATTTTTTAAAAGAAAACTTATATATGTTAAGTATATCTATTTGAAAAGTATTGGAAATCATATTTTTTTTTCAGACAAAACCTAGAATTTTCAAAGAAGCCTTCATGGAATGAAGTGCCCAGTTCCCATCAAATATAACTTGTAATTTAAACTTAAGATCTTAACATATAAGCACTGTATGCGTGTAATCAGGCAGCTGCATATGACTAATTCTACAAAGAATCTAAAGAGGAAGAAGACAAGAATCAATTTTTCATCATAAAAAAATATCACATAGCAGGCCAAACATGCTTAGGGTGCTTTACTTTTCTTAAATAATGGTCAGTGTTACTGAAAAAAATGTTACATTGGTCTGACAGTCATCAGCTAATTCAAGACTGGAGATACTTTATGATTTAGTATAGGACTCCTGATTTGCTTATTAAAGATTCCAGGATAGTCAAGTTGCACACAAGCGTGGAAAGGAAATTCTGTGATGGTTTTCTTCCAGCCCTGACCACAGCATAAATTCACAGAGTCACATCATCTAACTAACACAGACATTTACAGATGCTAATGACCCAATCCATAATCCACTAAAGATAATCAGCATTTTGTTGAGCTGGTGAATGCATCTGTGTAAGCGGAAGCTGGAAGTCTTGCTGGAACTGCATTTCACACATGCGCACGCATACACACACTCATGGCTCAACTTGTCAGCTAAATGTTGTCTTTCTTTAGCAGACTTTTTCCACGCTGAAACTTGAAACTTCTTCCTTTAACTAGGTAGATGTATGAGGAAAATGTATGAGGACAATGACTGATTTCTGCCTTGTTCATGTTAGCTGGTATTCCTCAAAGCATAATTTTTACCTGAGAAACACCTGCAAGGCCAGAACAGACTAGTGTTCTTTGGAAGCCTCACTACCTGAATTGGTTGAACTGCTACTATATGGAGTTTGGAAGTGTTTTGCTACCAATTAATTGCCACTTTTCAGGTAAATCTGCAGAAATGGAAATTCTTTTGCACTGGGTTTGATAATGATTTTACAAAATGTAAGCCACATATACAGGGGGGAGAAAGGGCTTAAGATGCATGTCAAGTTTAGCTAAACCCATGGATGCGTATTTACAAGTGATCACTATTTTATTTTTAATCGAATGTCACCATCTCAGGTGTCCTTCTCTTCATGACTATTTTCAACAGCGCAGCAACATTCCCTTATAAGTATGTCCCTGCACTCCTTAATCCCAATAAATGGTTGCTCACACAGTTTCTCTGTATTGTACTCCTGGAATACGCCCTCTCACATATTACTCACCTGGGATATCAGTAATAAACAAGATAATTATGATAAGCCATCGAATCTGTAACTGGCAGTGAAAGGCAAATGGGAGATAAACCCTACAATTTGAAGTTTATAATTGATGAGTAGTTATTTCATCAATGATTTTATTTATAGCAAATCTCCTTTCTTTCTACCTGTTGGAATTCCTATTTTAATGAGCAAGAGGTTAGCAATACGACTCTGATACTCTTTAACAGGTGAAAAAAGGCACGTCTAAGAAAGCGCAGTGACTAGGTACCTCATGTTCCAGCTAAAGCAATTAAGGTATAACAACTGTGTAACTCTGAACTCCTTACCTACATAAAAGGTCATCTTTTTTGTTTACTTTTCTTATAGTAGTTCTACCTTATTTCCAGCCTTGCAACGTGCAGGGACTGGAAACATGGCTATGTATCTATTACATATTGTGCTGCATGTCTGTAATAGGACATGTACAGCAAAAATACTTAAAAGCTCACAAACTTCTGCACATCATATGGTGATTTGTGTTCTTTGGTTTGCAAGGGTACTTTTGAGAAGAATCAGAGCATTTCTCTGCCTTTGGAAAAGAATAAATAGATATGCACCATCACACACATGGGATTAGGACACATAAAGAAGCCTAATTTTAGTTTTTGTATGCTCTTGGGAGGGATTAAACCAACTTTTCTGACTTCCATGTAAGGTACCCCAGCTACCAATACAAAATGGTGAAGCCACGCCTTCATTCAGGAAGGAATTCAAAATTCACAAGGTGAGAACTCACATCTCCTGCTGCCAAATAATGATTCAAGGACTCATCTGGACTGGAAAAAAAAAAAAAAAAAAAAAAAAAACAGTTGATTTTGGTGTACACTCTACCAACAGCCAATGTATTTTACACAGTGCCTGGTTAATGTAAAATAGGCCAAGAAAGAGACAGGTTTCAGGTCTCTCCTCCCCTACATCTACTTAGCAGAGAAAGCAAACATGCAAATTCTCCCTAGCCTAGCAATTGTTGAGGTCTCTTTTGCAGAATAAAACAATAACAGAAAATAGAGAGCACACAGGATAAAGTACTGATGTTAGGACATCCCTCAGACAGAAGAAAGAACCCTATTCTAGGTTTTTCATTTACTTAGCCATTGCTTTATTTCTGTATGAAAAAGTCACTAGAAAGAACCAGATGAGAATGGTTCTTCCACAGCTTTTGACACTGATCCTCGGCCTCTTTGCACATATTTAATACAGCAGTGAAATGCAAATCTTCAGTGAGGCAGCTGACAACCTCACGGATGGCTGTTACAGCTATAAAATGGGATTGGGGCCAAAGTGTGATGTGATCTTGCAACTGTAGCCAGCAGGACGGTGCCCCATGGAGTGTTAGCTTCCGAAAGCAGGTTAGAGAAGCCTAAATCTGTTTTTACTTACAGTGGGAGCCTATTTGTTTACTTTCTTCCCATTCATCTTTTACTTCTTCCTAGATCCTCATATACTAAGGAGGCCTAAATGTGGCCATACTGTTTTTGTATTATTTTGCAGATCCTGGTGTTTCTTAGAAGATGCTTCATTAGAATGTTTTACTAGGTTTGAATAATCTTAACTTTAAACATTTAAATCAGGATAATTTTTAATTTTTAGAAACAAAAATAAGACTAAATTGTCCAGAGATGACAAAGGTCCAGATTGTGCCTTTTGTATGGATTTGTGGCATATTCTCAGCCTTAAAACCAAACAAACAAAAATTAGCAGACTGTAAGTTTGTGTCAATTTGTGGCTCACTCCATCTGCATTATTAGCTAGGCTTCTTATATCTATATAAATAAATCCTAATTGTCAATCAAAAAAATCTGTACTGTAATGTTCATCCAACTGGTCCTCCTTGCTCCCTGAAGCCCAGAACTCGTGTAACATTCAGGTCACTTCAGTTTTCCTGAGAAATTTCCAGTTGCTGTGACTCATAACACCACCTACTGGACAATTATGACCTAAATGTCACTAAAAATGCTTTTAGTCTGTGCATTGGCCTGTGTACACTGGTAATAAATTCATATCTGCTTTGGTCACAAACTAACATCAGTTATGTTAGCTATGTTCACACTGGTGATGTTATGATCATTTATGTCTTAGTCAGTAAATAATAGAATAATGATTCATTTCTGATATTTTAAAAGATCAGCAGCCTGATGCTCTTTTAGCTAAGCTCTGTGTCTTAATGTATGATTTATTCCCACCAGTTAAGAGCATGGCATCTCCTTATTTCAGTCATTTGGGAAGTACTTAGGAGAAAAAGATGGCTTGTTTTAGCCTTTTGGGAAATACCATCTTGTTGTGAACAAAAAAAGGCAATGGTGTTAGTATGGGATAATCATAGTTACTTACTCTATGCACTTACTCAGCTTGTTATAACATCTTGATGTGGCTGCATAATATAAGGCATATTCAACATACATCAGAGAGCAAAGAGTAGGAATTGCTGAAGATGTTAATCATTTTTGCCAGAAGTACTATATACCAACATTGCACCATCTGGGAAGTAGGGCCTACTTTCAAAAGCACACAAGTACATTATGATGCAAAAGATTATTACACCAGTTATTACATCCTTCATATGGTACAATAACACCTTTCCCAGATATCCAGACTGAACCAGTCAATTTGCTCTTTACCCTCCTGAAAAAAATTCATTTACTTGGGAAAACCCTGTTGAATAAAGATCGATAGCTAGTAAGTGCTATCAAAGCTCAACGTATTCTTCACTTCTTCTGCATTACATACTTTATACACTCTGGGATCACATGGGGACTTGTGGAGATTTCTCTGACATTGATTAGGAGTATAGTCACTGCACTTCCTCCAGCAAATAGCTAGATTTTGCTCAATCAGATAAGACAGAAAATAACATTAGGGGGACTTAATCTTCTTTACCTTGCTCGAACAATTATTGTGTTAATCTGAGCACTCTTAAAAAAAGTAGTGAGATGTCATTACAAGTGCTACTAGATTTCAACACATTTTGTGCAATGCAGTAAGTCATCACCTTATCCTTAATATACACAGTACTGTTGCTTGTGAGGCACAACAGTTCTTTCCTAGACTACATGCTGAAGCATTAGGGTTCAATGATTCGCAGATGTACATAAGAGTGATCTGTTGCTTTTAATGTGCTTTAGTAAGTGTTAAAGAATTATATTTTAAAAATGTCTACCGCAGGAAAATATATAAGTATCATATTTCCTAAGTGACACTGAGAACTTCTTTTTATTGTCCCGTCACCTACAATTAAAAAGTTAGATAGACATATACCTTTGCTTTTGTATGTAGAATAACAATGAAAGATAAAAAATGTCTTGATCTTCATTTTCAGAAATCCTCATTTTGGACAATTAATTTTTCAGATGTCTGTATCTAAGTCACTATGGAGAAGACTTTGAAAGATGATGAATAAATGCATTGTCAGACTCTTCAGTAGTAATGGAGGGGAAATTAGTCAAATAAAAATGAGAGACTGCTCTTTTTAAACATGTAGAAAAGGTATTTGTTTCAGTCATAAAATAAAAACAAAGTCTGTATATTCAAGATTTGAATCTAAATGGAAATAAGGTTAGTCACAGTTTGGCCAGAAGTTACCTGTATTTTTTTTCTTGATGCAAAAGATCTTCCTTTTTCCTCTTGGCAACATTCAGAGTATTGTAGGCCTAACATTTATGGCAAAGAGTTATGTTTATTGCTTAGGATGAATAACATACTTTAGATAAAGACATGCAATTCTCTAATTCTAATACCTTTGGCTATGTTCCAGGAATTAATTATGTTAACTTCAAGGCTAATTTTGAAAATTTCCATGAAATCTTAATTAAATCTTTAGAAAATTCCACAAAATACACCTTTCATTTCTTTCTTTATTATTTTTATTTTTTTTCCTAATAAATACTGTTGACAAATCTCAAGAAATCCAGAAGTTTTTCTGTACGGGTACTTGAAAGGAATTTTTAATAACAAAAACTATAGAATTCTTTTCATATCTCTAAAGCAATCAAGTAGAACAAATTAATGGAATAACTTCAGAGTATGTATTACTCACTGGGTGATACAGTACCAGACAGTCCATGGCTCCTAAAATAATTATCAAGCTTTTATTATGTTATTACCACCAACTGCACTGGTAAACATATCACGTGATTTAAGAAAAAAAAAACGTGGAGTAAAGCAGAAGATGTTGGATAATGTTAGAAGTATGTGTACTCTAGGTTGAAGTCTTGTTTCATTTAGGTCAAAGACAAAAGATCTTGCTGATTTCAGTAGTCTTAGTCAGGCCTTAGAAATATTTTGCTAAAGTCACTCTGCCTGATAAAGCTTCAGGTTTATTTTTAGTGATACTGTAGAATCAGTAATTAGAGCAAGGCAGTGATAAGTTCTTGTTCTGATACTCTCAATGACATTCCCATCTGTACATACTCACCTGGGCAGACTGCACAACTTCAGAGAGCATGTTCTCAGAAAATAAGCCTTTTTTCTTGAAAGTTATCTTCCTAAGAGGTGACATGGTCTTAGTATTGCACAGCCATCCTGAGCTGCACTGTTACAGCATTTCAGCAGTGACATACTGGGCATAAGCACTGATCATCTTCGGTGTCAGTTATTCAAATACATAGACTAGTAACTTATGTAAAATAGGATAACAGAATCAGGAGCTGGATGTGAATATGTTAATTTAAACTCAATGTAGTTACTGTTCATGTCTTGTTGGTGGAACTAGATATTTCTGTATTTCTAACACCAGCACTTATACACTCATCGAAGAAACCCACTCAGAGGAGGGAAAAGGCACCACTTCAATTTCTATAAAGCCTTATTCTAACACTTAGACTTTTGACTACGTGTGAAAAAATTATTTTCTCTCATCAAAGCATTTCACTTACCACAAGATGGCACTGTTTTTTATTTCTTTATTTTCAGCTAGTACTGTCCACAGTCCTCTTGTGTTTCATCACATTATCTATAAAGAGGAAATGATCAGATCTCATTAGTATTTAACACACATTTATTTCATATACATGTTTATTTAGACCACCTGTTTTCTTCATACTAGATTTTAAAAATGTGGGATAGTGGCCTGCAGTGTTCTTTGCTTAAAAACATTTTTTATTTTTTTTCAGACCATAACATTTTTCACAGCCCACCACTTCACTTTTGAATTTTCAGATTCGGCTTACTTTTGGTCCACTAACTAAAAATTTGGTTCAGATGTGAGACTAATCCAGATATTCTTCTTAATTCAGAAACCTTGGTAAGGATTTGGATGGACAGGATCTGAGTTTTGAATTCATAGAGAATAAGGTAGGTGCCACAAAAATTTCTGGACAGCATTTCACACTGTTCTACTATAATAATGCCTCTTCCATTGTATATCTGAATATAGCTTATATTAAATAAACCTATAATGTTATTGAGCAGATGTTACTAAAGATTCCTCTAACGGACTTGTAATGCCTGCAAGGACAGGTGAAATTACAGAAAAACATATTTATGTAAATAAAGAAAAACTTCCAGTAGCTGAAATAGGAAATAGCAAAAACTGTTTTTTATATTAATATGCATTCAAAATGTTTCCAGTTATTCTATTTATCTGAATTTGTCACGATTTTGTAAGCATTGGACACCTGCAAATAAGTTATCCTGGGACATGCTTTCTGCAGAATTCAGACCTTAACAAAGCTTACTAAATAACTGTTCTTTGAGTGAAAAAGTTGGTTTTGTGCTTCTGTTAAGAATCTGAAGTAGTGACTTGCTATAAGCAGTGAAGACACCTCCTTCTACAGTAACCCCAGAAAGCATCCAGTGTTTGCTTTCTCTCTTGTGAAAGAACATCTGTTGTGAGTGGTATGAGCTATCTTCTGGGTCTGACCCACCTCTAGTTACTCTTTTAATAACCCAAGTCAGTATGCACAGTAAGTAGGACATGCATGGGTCTCCTTTCCACATAATGGATAGGCAGCAGTAACCTTGCATCTGCTCTTGTGTTAGTCTGTCACTCACAATCAGGGGTTACTTGATGCCTAAAATAATTCCTCCCCTGACAACTAATTCATCTGGGAAGAAAAAGGACTCCATCCAGATGGTGGGAATCTCACAGGCTTCTACTTCATTTTTTTAATTATTTTTTTTAATGGCAAAGTCTTTTTTTTTTTTTTTTTTTTTTTTTAATAGACACTCTGTAAGTTATATAACGTTCTTGGAGCTGTCGTGTTATTATCAGCCTTTAAATATATATTAGGCATTCAGAAAATAAGTCCTTCCTTGACCTGGTAGAATACTTCTCTAAAAATTTGGGCTGCTAAAACCCTTTACAAAGATTAAGCCCTAATACCAAACATTATACCTTTATCTAGATGTACAAATTCAAGACAGAGAAGGATGGTATAGTGTGGAAAGACAAACATTTTTTCACTTAATGCAGTGTCATTTTGCTGAGGTTTTTGGTGTGTGTCACCATCTGCAGACTGCTTGGTGGACCATATGCAAAGTAGTGATTTTAGTCCAGCATTTAGCAGGTATCTTTACAATAAAGCATACCACTCTTGGAAATACAGAATAACTGCAATTTGTAACTGAGGAAAGGAAGACATAATATTTGTGAAAAGATGCCTAATTTCTCCACCTAAAGAACTAGGCTTAGCAAATCATTCTTCAAGAAACATCTGCTATGCCTGTTCAGAAAGCTTACACAGTCTCACTCTGCAAGGGGGGTATGTCAGTGTAATTGATTTTCTTTTGTTCTGTTCTGTTCTAGAGGTAGAAGACCAGATCAGCCAGCATGACAGTTACAATACTGTTTTTCATAAATTGAAGTTTCTATCCTGGAGAGGATCAGACTCTCCTAAGAAACTCGACTATTGTGACTTTTGAAAAATGAGCTTCTTGACCCTGTGATTGGAGAAAGAGCTTGGAGAAAGATTCAAAAGCTCGGAGGTCAAAAGGCAAAAAAAAAAAAAGGTATCTACATTTGCCATTGAAAAGCTGTATTTGGGGAAGAAATGTATTAGCTGCATATCTGAGGCTGGAAATACTGGTATGATGTATCAACCTGCTTCCTCTTGAGAGCAAGAAGCATATAAACAGTGATCATATAACACTGATCTGTATTAGTAGGAATACTAAGTACCTCGCTTTTGTCAATGAAATCAACATAAATTAACACTGGGCAGGAGTTGGATTTTTATTTCCATTCAGTCCTTCAGCATAGTGCAACATGAAACGCCACAAAAAAAAAAAAAAAAAAAAAAAAAAAGGCTTTCTATCTTTCTATATTTCTGAAAATAAGCACCAGCTTTCAGTGACAGGCCTACACAAGCCGGGAGCCCGAGCCTTCCAGCCCATGCCCACCTGCCCCACCATGCAGCTAACTCAGTCTGTCTCTGTGCCTTGTCCCAGCCCTGGGACTGATGGACATTCCATCAGATGGGCCCAGGCCCCAAAAGCTTGTGTAGCTTTTTGCCTTGCTGTGATCAGCACCAAAGCCAATCACAAAGCTGAGTTTTTGCAGCTTTGTGGCAAGTCCAAAGCTGACTGTGTTGCCACTGGGTAACCCTTACAGTTCTGTGATGAGCAAATGTGTGTAGTGATGGACCAATAGCAATGATCTTGTGGTGTCACTTACAATGCTAATGACACCATCCTTAACTCTTTACTGAGTTCCTTTTTGATGGATAGTGATCGGAGTGGTGTAGGCAACAGTTTGAGAACATGGCTGCCTGTTTCCTGCCCACCCCTGGGTGTGCAGGCCCTTCAGCCAAGCTGGTGGTGCCTCAGGGAAAAAATGTTTAAGAAAGGGCAAAAACACTAAATAGACAGAGAAGGGGGGAGAAAATAGAAACAACAGGGCAAAGGACAAAGTCAGAGAAGGAGGAGGAGAAGGAAGGGCTCCATGGCAGAGCACAGGCCTTCAGCCCATGGAGAGGCCTATGGTTGAGCCATGGAAAAGCCATGAGGAAGGAGCGGTGGAGAGGAGCGGTTATAGACCCACCACAGCCCCCATCCCCTTGTAGAGAAATTGGGAACGAAGGAGTGAAGCCTGGGAAAGGGTGTGGGGAAAAGGCATGGTTCAATGCTTGTTTTTGTTTCTCAAAAAAAAAAAAAAAAAAATCAAAGATTATTCCATTGGCAATAAAACTAATTTTCCCCAAGTCGAGTCTGTATTGCCTGTGACAGTAACTAGTGAGCAACCTCCCTCTCTTTATCTCTACCTTCAAGCTTTTTCATCATATTTTCTCCCCCTGCCTGTCCCGATGAGGAAGGGGAGTGAGAGGGTGGCTGGTTGCGCCTCTGGCTGCTGGCCAAGGTCAATCCACTGCATACATGTGTGTCATAGAGCCACATGCTCTGAAGAGTTTCCCTGAAAACTAAGGAAATGAGGTGAATGAAAGATAAAGCTTTATAGTTTTAGAAAAAGCTTTGAAGGTGAGGCACAGAAGCATTACATGGTTTGAAGAGTTCCATGAGGCATCCATCTGTTAAGGTAGAAGATATCCAGCTCAAGCCCCTGGCATTCAAGGATGGCACTTCAGGCTCCCGACCACCCTTCTTCCCATATCAGGACTGAATAATTTAATGAAAAGTGCTGTTTTCCCATGTTTTGACCAGTTAGCTGGCACTTTAAGCTGTTGCAAGCAACATGCACTGAATTTGCCTGAAAAAATGCTGTGGTATTTCCATCTGTCAGTAACAGATTTAAAAAAGATTTTGTGGATTCTTTATAAACAACCCTAAACCTTCACCTACGCTATTTATGTCTGAACTAAAGAAAATCTAGTGATTGATGGGTGGACTCCTATGCCAACTACTTACCAATAGACTGACGAAACAAATTTTCTGAAAACCGTACATCACTGAAGGGATCAAGAGCAAGACCAAATTCCCGGTCTTCATTGTCTTTTCTTAACCCCCGCTTAAACCCCATTCCAAAATAATAGTTTGAAACCTATTTTCTAGTGATTCATGACCTTTACGAATAAATATTCATTTTGTGTGAAAGCTAACAAGTCGGTATTAAATGCTAATTTGCCCATGTTTAGGGCTTAATTTCCTGCTTCAAACATTATTCTTAGATTTTGTGACCAACAAAATTTATCCATGATTACTAGACATACTAGACATCTGTTTATTGCTACTGAGGGGATTATTTCTGTAAAAAAGAAGCAAAAAACAAAACAAACAAACAAACAAAAAGATGAGGATGATTTCTTAATAGATAAGAATATAAACTTTTTTTTTTCCACAAAACGTCATGAATATAAAATGATGCTGCACAGACGTCATGAGCAAATACATGCGTTTCTGAGTAGTAGGACTTGTAAGTAAAGTAGGGTTAATTGATCAGACAAAAAATTGAAAGCAAAATTCTATACTAGCATAGGAAAGTTGAATAGCTTGAGTAGTGTGACATTCCCTATTGACACAAATGATGCTGTTGCTCTCTTGGCAGTACTGAGCTGTACAATTATATGGAGTACCTTCCATTATAGTGAACATTTTGAAACTGAAAATAAATAATATTTGAATTAATTGACTCTCTGTGTTGATACTGTTACCAATCAAGGTTCCCAGAAAGTTAATTTAAATGAAGCATCTGAACAGAAGAACCTTTGAATTATTTATCCATGGGCAAAGCTAGAAGTGGAATCAGCCAACACATTTCTAGTGCAGCTGGTTTTTATTTTATTAGTTGGGAAATGTGATTTACTGACTTAAATAAAAATATTTTTGACTGTGTATGTTGAACAACAACAACAAAAAAATAGAAACATTATAAACCTTCACTTTTAAACACTGTTCAGTTTGAGTGGATTTTCCACTCAGATGAGGAAGCTGAAATGAGGAGTAGAGGAAAAGAAACTTCCTTCTATGCTTTCCAACTTTCTTTCACCTTTTTTTTATTATTTTTTGTTGTTGTTGTTGTTGTTGTACTCAGTTTTTCACGTATTTTTGGTCTATAAAGTAAGCACTTTTCCTTGGAAATGCTTCACCATTTTTCAGATGGAAAAAAGTACAGGGGAAAGAAAAGGAGAAATAAGAGAAAAAAAATCTTTAAAACAACTTTAAAAGAAATAGTAAAAAATATTATCTACTTTTTATACCTATATACATATGTTTGAAAATAAAAACTAAGTTTAAAATTATGTTTAACTTTGAACCTTGTTTCAGATTGTATTACATCCTATTTTAAGATCTGTAGGCAAATTTTCTAAGAAAAAAACACATTCTTCCTCTACTTCTACTTGAGGAAAAATTTGAATTTGCAAGTCCTAATGGATTTTTGAATGTGAAATTGAGTAAGAAATGCACATCTGTTCCTCAACAAATCCCATTTCATTTAGACATCCCTTCCATGCCTAATCACTGTGGCAAAATGATTTTATTTTATTTTTTTTTTCCCAAGGATGAACTTAAGATAAATGAATGATAATCATCATTGGTAGTTTAACATTATGTATTTTGTCATCCCTTCTACTCTGAGTTCTAGGCATGGGTAGCCAAATTGACATGAACATGAATCTAGATGGATGAACACAAAACTAATATTTCCGGGGGATCACCTCCAAAGAATGGGAGAAGCCCTGGTTTCAGAACCCCAGTGGTCATAGAAAAACATTGTCTGGCTGACATTTTAAAATCACTATGAATCAATAACAATATTTGAAGGTTTTCTAAGTGCTTACAATTGAGGAATTTCTTATTACAGATGCTTAATCCTAGGGATGTCCTAAACTACATCACAAAACAATATTGAACTGTTCCAGCTTAGAGGAGGAATGAAAGGTATAAAATTATTAGGATTGCCAGGACTTGGATAAAAATAACAACTGTACACGAATAGACCCAAATCTTTTTTTCTTTTTTTCCTTTTTTCTAAATTATTATTATTATTATTATTTTAACCTCTATCATCAGACCCTCTAATCAGTGATCAGCACAATGATATTTTGTCACCTTCTCTGGCAACAATGGATTGCTTCTTCTGATCTTTTAACAAATGCCAAAATATTGAACTGGTTTCTGGGTGAACTTCTTTAAAAAGAGTTTGTAGCACTGTTAAACTTTTTCATTTATGTCCATTTGGTTAGTTTGGTGCAGTAAGAAGTTGATTCTAACTTCAGACACTTCTCAGGGTCTGAGAAGGCAAGGAAGTTGGTCTCCTGCTCCCAATCCATGAATTGAATGTGAGAGCTATTACACAGTAAACCTCAAAGTCTGGTCTGTAGGCAATTAATTAAGTTTAGTATGTACAAATCATCTTCCTTTCTCTAAGAAATTTATCGGTGCCTTGTCTTGGTAAAACCATGTCTCATTCTCCTGTGCATTTAGGCCACCTTATTTTCATAAATTTTGTTATGTATATTTAGTTTACTTTAGTTTCAAATTCTCATCTAAATGCAGTTTCATAGATATGAGTAATGCATGAGTAATACACACACTAGGCAAAGCAAACTCTGAAATAAATATGAAGAGACACAGGGAAACTTTCTGGTAAACAAAAAGGAGAAGTAGGCTTTGACACTCATTGAAGAAACAACCTTTTTAAATGGGAAAACAATGAAAAACAAATACTGAACAAGATCAGAGACAGTCTTGTAAATCAGCACATCTTGCTTGTTGATTTTAAACCTGATTAAAATCAACCATTTTCATCAGTAACCCTGTCTCCACCCTATTTAAGTGTACTATCAATTATGGCACCCTGCCTACTTTTAAAGGAGAGTGAAGGGTATTTGTAAACATGCTGTATTATTTTAGCTGTATTCTTGTTTCTACAGGACATTTGAAGATTTCTAATCTTTATTACTAATTACAAAGGGATATTTGAATCCAATGTGTGTTTCCACGAGTGCTTTTTTTTTATACTGACATAAATTATGAGCCGATTTCTCTTTATACTTTCTGTAAGCGTCTTCTAAACTGTAACTAGAGTAGGGACGAGGAACTGATGGGCAAAGGTAAGGTCAGTGCATCAGATTCTTTCACGTAAGAGCTTTCCAGGCAGGATCAAAATAACTATTATGGCTTGATTTATTTTTTATTTGGCAGTAGCCCTGTAAGTGAGCCTTTGTGTTAGGATGCCTGTATGGAGCTGCCCCTACACACCATTTGTCGCATCAAAGACTTTCTGTTTACAGCTATCTCATGGCACCTTGAGGCTACAAGGTTTGCAGTTCTCACATTTGCTGAATGTCAATGAACTATAAAATAATTAGCTAAGAATCAGGCCATTTAACCTGAATCAATTTATGACACTGTTTTCTCAGTGCTGGCTCCATCACCTATGTCAGCACTACGCGGGCAGTCCCATTTGTACTAACTTAGAATGGAATTGATCATACATTAGTTAACAGTTATTCACACATTGCCCTGTGGAATAATTTCACAAAGAGTTGTATAACTGAGGAGATGAAAAGGAGTTGGATTTCCCTGCTAGTTTAATATGTGCAGCTGTTTCACCCTGACATCCCTTTGCTAAATGTTCAGGAAACTCCATGCCCTAACACATCATTAAAAAACAAAAAAGAATTCCTAATTCTCCTGAGCATCTCAACTCCAGATAAGAGTGATAGCTTAAAATATATCATCTGCTTTAAGTCCCATGTAGCCGCCACTTAAAAAGAAAGCTTCCATAAAGTGCTTCCGAAGGATATGAACTCTAAGAAAATTAAACTAGAGATTTACTTGAATGATAATGTTATTATAATTTGGGATTAGGCTAACAGAGTCTGAATCCAGAAGTTCAGCTGGCCAGCGCTAAAGTACATGCTTGCAAAGTCTATACAGTAATCATCAAAGCACAGATTTTCATACCCTCTGAGATTCTGCTCACCCTTCGAATCTCCTGTTGCATACTGCAAGGGCTAGGGCCAGCACTAAATCACCATCTCTTGGGTTACACACTTTTAAAATATGCTTACTTAGTGCATAGAGATTTTGAAGAATGGACTGTGTTAAATGAAAATAAAAATAAATAAATAAATAGAATTTAAAAAAGAGGAAAGAAGCAGACAAAGGGAGAAGCCAAGTAATATATGGATATGCTCTTTTACCTGCTGATTTTAAGGAGGAGTGCTAACGTCACAACTCAACAGACAGCCTTTCAAAGGAGGAAAGGAATATTACTAGCGTGGTGTCTTTGTCCAAGATTATACAGAACGCTTAGCAAGTCCTTTTAAAACTGGGAAGGGAGATAAAACTCTTCTTAATGATGATGAAAGTCTCATCAGCCTGAACTGATGTTGCTATGGAAATACAAATTATGTTTTCCTCTGTCTTCTTCATTTTGTCCAGGAAATTCCTAACAATCAAAAAAGAAATATGACTTATCCCGACCTCTGCCTTAGAATTAATAGTGCTGATGCTGCATTATTAGTGGTAAAGTGGTAGAGTCTGTCCTGAAAGCACAGATTGTAACACAACATTTCCTTGTTATTCAGAGTATAAAAATGACCAGGTAGTCATTGTAAGCTTTTAACTTTTATGTGGGAGAGAGGATAGGGAAGCTTGCCATGTTAAAGAGCATAAATTCACCTCTGAGTTCCAGACACGGGACTGAAGGCCAAACAAACCTTTATGTGCACAGATATATGTTCAAGTGGAAAGGTTGACTATGTGCTTTAATCATGACTAAAATGCAGACGCAGTCATGACCCAACTGCATACATGAGTGAACTGTTGCTGTTACGCAGCCGTTAATTCTGACTAAACCATTTCACAAGAATAAGGAAGGAGTCTTGGCCATCCTCTCAGATAGGTTAAGATTCCAGTGTAAGAACTAGGTTGCTTCTAGTTTTCCTAAAAGAAGTTATCTTCTTTATTCTGTTAGCTAACTAACATCTAAGTACTTCAGAGTACTTATAACTTACTTATGGAGACTATTTTGATAGATGATGATTTTAGTGGTCATAAAAATTGCACACTTGATCAAAATAACTAAAAACAGAGCGTGAAGTCTCTATAATTTTAAAAAAGGCACCTTAAGGTGTAGGATCTCTATCATTAGTGCAAGGCCTGGGTCTGGTATTTGCCAGTGTTGCGTTGTCTAATCAAATGTAGTTGACAGTGGGATTCTATTGAAGTTCTTCCTATTAGATGTCAGTGCTACACAACAAAGTGGAAAATGGGTTAGCATATGAAATTCATGTTCTGCTCCTTTTGCTCCAAAGCTCTTTTCACCTCATGCTTCTAT